GAATTCTGCAAAATAAAACACTACTAGTAAAATCTTCTGTATTTTTATGTAGCCTTAATAGAATGAAGTAGTACATTACAGTGACTAGATTGCTTTTAGGCCAATACCTCTTTGTAATCTCCTTTAACTATTAATACTCAGTTTCTGTAATAGGTGAATTTTTTTAAAAAGAGATTTCTATTTATTTATGATGCTTAACATTCCAGGTTCTATAAATAGAACACAAAAGCAATATGAAAATAAGTCTATGTTAAAGACTATACAAGAAGAGATCAATTAATTCACATTTCACTGTCTTTATCTGGAGAGAAAATTACTGAATAGAAGAGCAAACCAAGGTAATGTTTGTAAAAGGCAATGTATACCCTTAGCATTGTAGCTAATTTGATGGATTTTTTAAATATAAAAAAGCGTGTTGTTTGGCTGTTTGAATTGTCTTGTTATCTGGGATCTTGTAGATACATTGTCAATCACTTCCAGCTTAAATGAGCTTTCATTAAGAGTATTAGTCCTGCAGAATTCCCCAAGTCATCTGAGCTCGTTAGTGGTGGAGCAAAGACAAGATGTTCTACTTTCCTTTTCTGCGTGTTTACGGAGCATCTTTTAGTTAGCTTCCTCTCCTTGCCACCAACCACTGCAAAATTTCATCCCTAAAGATGTAACACATCCATCACGCCAGCTTGAAGTAAAATTCCAGCTAAACCCAGTTCATACTGCTGTCTAAATATTAATTTTCAGCTTACTTGTTGCCATTCTTTTATTTCATGGCTTATTTTTCCTACAGTTTTAGGAAAACCCAAGAATGTAACTCCTGAAATGTTTCCTGGTTTTCTGTTTGCTTACCCACATTTTATCCCCCTCAAAAGTAGGGGAATAAAACATTCCTGATAAGAGACGTGGCTCAGGTTGATCAATACCTGCCGTCTCCCTCACCTCCAGAAGAATGTGGTAGCATCCTGCCCAGAACGCATTCTGTGGGATGTGGTGAATTGCCATGACTGTTCATTTTCATGGTATCTCCTAGATGGTGAGGGCAGAAACCTTGTTCTGCTCTTCCTGAGGGTATGGTACATTTCAAAAATAGGTATTTAAAGAAATGCCTGGCAATCTAGGACAGTGACTTAACATTAACCTTAGAATTTAAGTTTTATCGCTTAACTAACTCTGTATCCTAGGAACATCACTCACTGTTTCAGACTCTCAATTTCTTCATCTGTACCATGAAATGGTTTCTTCACTGCTCACCTGAAGGAATTGGCATGAGCCTCAAAATCACTAAAATGCGTGAAAGGATTTTCTACATTTTTCTCCATATATCAAACATTATCATGAGGGGCCTTAACCTAGGAATTTTGTAGTTTCGTTGGTGAACTTTCAGCAAGACAAGTTTGGTTTTTGGGAGAATATTCCTGACTCTGCTAATATTCAAAAACTGACTTTTGGGGATCTGCATGCAGTTGCTTAAACAGTTGTGTTATGGTTCTTACATGTGTGTTTTTATCAAACATTTTAAACTCTTGATATCTATTCTATATGGACTGATCTAAAAACTGGTTTTTAAAATCGATCTGCTTTTAAGATGACCCAATATCAGAAGCATAGTGACCTAGTTGCACACATTTCATTATTCTCTTAGAATCCAGAGGAAGCAGATCAGGACTTCTGGTGGCCAAGGGTGATGTTAAATTTTTTTTTGGTGTGACATAATCTCAAATTCACCCAGTTGGGATGTGGCAAAATCCGATTTTCAGTTTTATATGCATAGGGTTTTTTTTCTATGGCAAGTTGCCACCAACCAGATTGGTTTAGATGCCCATTAATCAAATCAAGTCAAAATGACAGCGTGCGTACTCTGAAAGCTCCGGTTTGCAGCGCCTAGAAGGAGGTCAGGTAGGCAGCAAACACCAAACCTGTTTTGCTGTGAGAATGGCAGTCAGCTTGTGAGGAGCTGCCATTGGTGGGAGGAAATATAGTATAATGGTTAAAAGAATGGGTTTTGATGTTACTTAGATATGGGCTCATATGTGTTCTTTGTTTTTTACAAGTTGTATAACTTCTAAGCCTCGATTTTTCCATCAGTAAAATAAATACACAAATACTTACATAACAGGCATAATGGGATTGTTATGAAGATTAAAATAGGACATTGCTCATCACAGTGTAGGAGCTCGATCAAAGGTAATTATATTATCTGCAATAACCAGTGATATTAAGTAATAGTCCAATAAAATATCAGTTATATTATTAATAATAATGGTGCTTACACATGATAGGTATTGTACTAAGAACTCATAAATATTAACTCATTTAATCCACACACACAGATAAAGACTGTTACTGCCCTGGGTTGACAACTGAGACTCAGAGAAGTTAAGTAAATTGTTTAAGGGAAAAGGCACAACTGGGTTTTGAACAAAGGCACTTTGACTCCAGAAGCAGAGTTCTTAGCCACCATACTATACCACAGATGCCTTCCTGCCCAGTGATACTGTCAAGGATTTAATATTTTAGTGAAATGAATGTCAATGTTTTGGACGGTGCAGGAAAGATAGTATATTATACTCTTGTGGCTCTTCATAGGTACCTAGATTCAACACTCAGAATGTGTTTGTGTCCACTAGGTGGCATTGCTGTTTTAACGAAATGTGAACCAAGCCAATATTTAGGCTTAGGGGTCTGCTAAATTTGAGAGCACTGGCAGGACGGTACATTTGGATCCCTAAATGTCTGATGAAAAAATCCTCCAATATTTGAAACATATTTAAAGATATCTGAAGACTAGAGGTTGAAACAATTGAGAAAAATATATGTGAGTTTATTTTGCATGTCAACGTCTGTGCAGACTATCTGGATAAATTTTGAGATTCTCTAGTCTTCTATCAGTTCACAGAATAGACTCAGGGTCAGAGGGGAAAAATGACTTGTTCAGGGTAACCCAGACCTGATGGTTTGGCTGTAGTTCTCTTTCCATAATATTTCCTATGGTTGCTAAATCACAAAAAAGTTGTGATTTCTGAATTCTTAGAAGATTCCCCTTTTGAATATAGGGCAGAAGATCGCTCCACTGTTGCGAGTTTTTGTTGTATAAGGATTCAAACATGTCTCCCGAATTAATAGTAGACTCAGGAACTTAGATATTAAGTAGTATAAATGCAAAGGAAGGTGCCTTTTCCCTCTTGAAAAGATCGAATGACTGTTTTAAATGACCATCCCTATTAGTTGACAATGCAGTTTATGAATTGAGACCCATGGCAGGTAGCAGGTTAACAGAGAAGTGGAGGGACTCTGGAATCAAACTGTCTGAAGTGAACCCTGGCTCTGTCATTTAGTAACTATAGGACTCTGGGAAATTATGAGACATCTCTAAGCCTTGGTTTCAGCACCTGTATAACAGAAATACTCTTTTGATTTATCTTTTAAGATGTTCATGAAAAGTAAATGTGTGAAGGGCCCATGATATAGGAGAAACAAGGTAAAGGATGACAGTAATAATTGACTATTTTTGTTATTATAGTTGATTTTTTTTTTTTTTATGTCTCTCAGCTGTGAAAGTCATTACAGGTGCTTTGTCAACAATGTTACTCACTGTCACCTGCTGAATTGCTAAAAGGGAGAAAGAACACTTCAGGTTTATAACTGTGTACCATCGCTTCTTCCTCAACCAGATGGTACAAGTAGCCAAGAACACGGCCATGTATTTCATGATGTGTTCACAGCAGCTTAATTCAAAACACTTGTAGGCTTTAGGCTCCTATTTGCAGGTTAGACAGAGAAGGTGACTGAGCATCCAGCACAAAACAGTAATAGCTAAGAGTTACTGAGCACTTCCTGAGTGCCAAACATTTCTATGTTTTATACGTATTAACTCACTTAAGCTTTACAATGTCCCTGTGAGCTACAAACTCATGCTTTCCCCCTTGTAAAGATGAAGGAACTGGGATTGAGAAACTTGCTCCAGCTTAAATAATAAGCCAAAGAGCCCGGATTTAACCTCAGGCAGCACAATTCTTAATCGCTCTGCTCTGCCACCTCTTTGGGTAACGTGTCAAGAGCCCTCGAAGGTTCCTGAGCTCTAACCTGCTTTCTCCAGTACACTAAATATTGCAGTGAAGCCTGGGATCACATCACCACTGTTTGCTTAGCTCTTCTGGGTTACTGATAACATGCAACCCTGTTACCCAGGAGAGTAATGTGTTAAACCTACTTCGATATTTTTATGGCAGTTAGTTGATGAGATTAACTGGTTAAACATTTAATAGACTCCTGAGTTTGACGGAGTAAAACAAAGTTGCAGCGGGTCAGAAGAGAGCTTGCCTAAGACAGGGCACTCTTGAAGATTGCTCCTTAGGAATCGAAGGAAAGAGGATCAGCTTTCTGATGCAATCATGCCTGTGACTAGCTTATTTGTTACTCTCGTGTTCTGTAACATTCCAGACTACACTCTTTTCATTGCTGTAATTCAGAATCCCATATGGAATTCTTGAATTCAGATTTACAAGAGCCTTGGCGGTCTTCTGGTCTATCGCCCTGACTTCACCAAGAAGGAAGCTGAGATACTGTTTGCTTAAAGTTTGTCCCCATTTATCTTAGAGGAAGAGTTGGGCCCCTGTTCGTTTGGTTATTCCCACTTTTTCTATATCCTTCAGCAATTTCACTTTGAATAGCATCAACTTTGAATACATGCCGAAATTTCCCTGTTTATACCAATAACATTTTCCCTTCAGTGAGAACCCAAATTCAACAGATAGCATCTGTTCTTTACAGATAGCATCTTTCTATTTATAATTTCTTCTTTCTTCCTTTGCTTGAAATAAACTTTTATGGGGCGGGGAAAAATGACATTTATTAGAATATATTTTAAAATAAATTTGTTTTCTCAGTAGAAGCTGTGAATCCAAGTAATTCAATTTAAATCTAAGAAAATGACCATATCAAATAGGACCAAGGTAAATTCAAAGCAGAATCTCAAAAAAAGCCACTGGGAGGAGACTTCCACTTACCGATTTCGGTCATGGTTATCCCTGGTGCTAACTGCCCATTGTTGAAAGAGCTATAGGTAAACAAGTTGGGTACGGATGTGAGGTCGTAGATAGGTTCTTGCTTTATCTGTTTGATTCCAGTCATGTCAAGTCCTGACTGATCAGGGGACGGCTGACCGGAATCGACGTTGTAATAACCCTCAGACTTGGGCAGGTCAATGACGTGCCCGTTGGCGTAAGTGCCGCTGGTCTCGTTGTTCAGGTTGCTCAGGCCGTTGCTAATGCTGCTGCTGTACACCCTGGCAAGGGCTTCTGCCTCTCCACTCTGCTGCTGCCGCTGTTCCTGCAGCCGCTGCTGGTGCTTCTGCACCTCAGCATACAGGCTGTCCCTTTGCTTCTTGGACATCCTCCCAAACTTCACAGCTGGGTTGGAGAGAAAAGCAGAAAACAGCACTTGTGGTTATCATTCGCGTTAACCACCTCGGGTACAACGGGTCACGGGATGGTTGTCCCTTCAACATCAGATGCACACATGTCTAGCACCATCACTTAAGAACCCATTCGTTTGCACGCCACATCTGGGGAAAGGTTATATTCAGAGGGTTCCTGTCCTGGTTGACGCCCACAGTGAGAAATAAATCAAAGCCAGGAAGAAATGTAAAAACTTATGTATGTATTTCTCATTGCCATGAAGATAGAAAGCATGTCTTCCTCTTTTTTTCTTACCTGTGAAAAAAAATCGCAAAAAACCAAAATACCAAATACCAAAAAAACCAAATACCAAATTAGCAATAGTACCCACTATTAAAATGTTAACCAACTAACTTTTATTCATTAGGATTACTAGATCGCTAGATTGGACCCTAGTATTTCACTTTCAAATCTATTTTCTGTTTTCTTTCTTAAATTTCTCTTTACTTTTTACAATAATTTTATTTAAGAGACAGGGTCTTGCTCTGTTGCCCAGGCTGGAGTGCAATGGCATGATCATAGCTCACTATAACCTCGGGCTCCTGGGCTCAAGCAATCCTTCTGCCTCAGCCTCCTGAGTAGCTAGGACTACAGGTGCTTGCCACCAGGTCCAGCTATTTTTTTTTTTAATTTGTGTAGAGATGGGGCCTTGCTACATTACCCAGGCTGGTCTTGAACTCCTGGCCTCAAGCAAGCCTCCTGTTTCGGCCTCCCAAAGTGCTGGGATTACAGATGTGAGCCACTGCACCGGGCCAGGTCGATTTTCTAAATAGTGTGTTGGGTAAGACCAAAGGCATGGGGCTGGATGATAAACATAATTTTAAGTGACAGCATCATTTGCCTTCAGTTGGCTTTTGGGATCAAATGATAAGAATCTTTGGAAAATAGCAATTTGGGGCATCCGATGCCCAGCAAGTGATCAAAACAGTAACTATCTTTTCTCATTCTACCATTCCCAAGTTTTATTTTTCCTATGTCTTCTGGCAATATTCTCAGGCAGTCAGAGGAAAAAGAAGGCAGAAGTGCTGCAAGTAGTCACAGAGTAATATCAAGGTGCTTTCATTTCAGTGTGTTGTTTCTTCAGATACTTAACCTCCTGAACTGCTGTGAATATTGACATTTCTCCTCACAGGTTGTCAACTGCCTTTTTAGGATGTGAACATCCTGAGTCACAGGCCTACCTTCTTTGAATTATCAAGCATTGTTCAGCTCATGTTAATAGTGGGGGCTATGGCAAACTTGGAGGCTCCTGTCTGAGTTTCTGTTTTCTGTTCTTTTGTGACGGTATGCCCACCACCTCTTGGTGCTAGGAGCTCAGAGAATGAAGAAGGAAATGGAGTTTAGAAAAAGGCTCAGTTCCTGGATTCAATCACGAGGGTTGATGCTTTTCTGAGAATATCTAAATGGTGAAGTGCTTAAGAACTCTCTAGCACAAAGGGAACACAGAAGAGATTCCCACAGTCTGAAAGAGCTGCCATTCACCCTTCTCCTCCAATATTCTTCCAAAATTCATTTTCTTTTTCCATTGGGTACAGAGGTACCATATTTATCTGAGCATAGGCTGATCAGAGTGGAGACTGTACTTCCCCATCCCCCTCACTGGCGGGTGTGTAGGTGATTAAGTTCTGATTCATGGGAAGTAAATGGAAGTGTCGCATTCACTTGTGGGTATTGGGGCATGTTTTCCTCCTTCTTGCCTGCTGGATTGTGGATTTAAGGGCTGGGCTTAAAGAAGCCAAACTCTTTCTGTATCTTCTTAATCCTTCTTAAAAACCTACATTCTGGGGCCAGGCGCGGTGGCTCACACTTGTAACCCCAGCACTTTGGGAGGCCAAGGCGGGCAGATCATGTGGTCAGGAGATCAAGCTTATCCTGGCTAACATGGTGAAACCCCGTCTCTACTAAAAATACACACACACACACACACGCACAGGCACACACACACACACAATTAGCCGGGCATGGTGGCATGTGCTTGTGGGCATGGTGGTATGTGCTTGTAGTCCCAGCTACTCGGGAGGCTGAGGCAGAAGAATCCCTTGAACCCAGCAGGCGGAAGTTGCAGTGAGCCAAGACTGAGCCACTGCACTCCAGCCTGGGTGACAGAGGGAGATTCCATCTCAAAAAACAAAACAAAACAAAACACAACACAACACACAAACAAACAAAAAACCGTACATTCTGGCTTTCTGATGCTGCCTAAGTAGGAAAACAAAGTGATAATTATCTAGTAATTTTTTCTGTGTGAAGACAAACAATCTGACTCATTCAGACTAAACTCCCCTTTCCATTTTAGTGGTTGGTTTTATATGGTCTTGAATTATTTAGATCATTGTATTTAACTTTGTTTGTAGAGACACTACCTTTATTAGATTCTGATTCTCAGAGACAAATTTATTTGCTTACTAATTGAGGTGACATTTCCAGTTTGTCTATGTACCGAATTCTACAGTAACTTGTAAGGCAAGCTTCCTCTGTATCTTTATATTACATCTTTCTAAGCAATTTGTTACATATTATTCTCTAGGGGAAAAACGCCTTTTGTATAGGAAAAAATAAACAACTATAAATATTGATTAAGAAAGAACTTCCCCTTTTCCCCCAGGAAAGGAGGGCTCTGTATTTGCTGCCCCTCTGCCCTTTGCGTTTGGGTAGGTTCAGAATAGCTCTTTGTTGTAGAGTTGTGGAAGTGAATACAAGGTTTGTATCCACTGCTATAGATCAGGATTTTTTGTTTTAGCTAGGGTAGATCTGCTTTCTGATTTATTTTAGTATAGTAATTTTGCATTTTATTGGTTTGAAATTTATAGGAATTAAAGACTGAGAATAAGAAACTCTTCTAACATAAATATAGAAATGTGTGTGTGTGTTTTTGTTTGTTTGTTTTTTTTTTTTTAAAAAAACCCTTTTTCCATTTAATCCTTGCTTTAGATTTCTGTTTACTCTATATTTAGGTGAAATATACTTTGTGGAGGACTGATTGCATTAATGACCCTGATTCCATCTTATCATGGAAAGGGCATTTCTTTCCATGCCCTTCCACACGTCAATTTGCAGTGCTCTTTCATTCTTTGCAGGCATCCTGCCCAGGGTCATGTGACCTACTGTGGACCAATGGAATATTGACAAATGTGACACAGCAGAGACTTGAAAAAGGCTTGTGTGATTGTGGACCTCACCATGACAAGGACATGCCTGAGCTATCTTGTTGGAGGATAAACTTACTGGGGGATATGTGAGGCAGAGCCAAACCTCCTTGGTCATACCAGGCAATGCCATCTACAATCAGCAGAGCCATAGAACTGACCTGCCGCTGGTGTACGCAGAAATCTGCTGTTAACTACAGACATCATAATCACCAGCTAACAATGTCAAAAGAGTATGTTGTGAAGACCTCTGCCATGGTTAACATCTAAAAACTCAACAAAGAAAAGCTCTGCATTTTTTACAAAATTGACTTATCAGGTCACTGAGCAACTGAAATACTTTCAAAGAAGCAACTTAAAACGAATACATTTTAGAGTTATTTCAGGTGTAATCCTAAATCAAAGACTTCACTGACAATGACTATAATGCTATTCTATGATTAATTTTTCATTTATTTCAGAAACATTGATGAGTCAGTGTTTCAGTTTTATGCCCCTTCTTGCAATAACAGTGGTGACAAATTTGGGAAAAAATTACACTACATGGCCAAAATAAACCCACTGACTTTCTTAACATAATTCATTTTCACTATTTGTAAATACATTTGTTGAATGCATAGAACTATTTTAACAAAGGCCATGTTAATATTTCAAATATTAGCATTCTTCTTATCACTGCATATTAATCAGACTGGCATATATTTTAACTCTTTGCCCCTCTCAAACTTGAATTATTCTGTTAATGACATTCACTTGACTGTAAAGACAGCCTCTTGTTAAACTGCTACCTCTTAAAGAAACCAGCACAATTCTGTATACATTGCAAGTGCTTTATAAATATTCAACGATGACGGTATTTGCTCATAATATGCTCTTAACCCTCCTTTTGATCCCATAATAGCGAAGAACAATTTTATGTGAAAGTATTGGAAATCATTTTATATTTATTTGAATTGTGGTATTCTAAATGGAATGAAAGTTTTTGATATTTGAAAAATAAAGTCATAGCTCCTTCAAAGATTTCTGTTTACATAACACATGAACATGTGTTTTTGGTTTCAAGAGAGCCCAACTGACTGTCATTTATGACTTTCTATAAATTTCTAAAATTATTTTATCTACTACCTTTGGTTGTAAAGTTATCTATATTTACATTTTGCTGCTTACCAATGAAACTGGTCTTAATTTAACTCTTTTCAGCTTCAGAGATGTGCCTCTTCTGCCACCCTTTTTGTAGTGCTGTAGGCTTTGTATTAGAAGTCTGATTCAATCTAGCTAAACCTATTCATTATTTTAAAATCCCTCTCTTCTCCTTCCTCTTTTTCTCCAACAGAACTCCCTGTGATGTTGAAATGTTCTCTGTGCTTTCCAATATGGTAGCTGCAAGCTGCATGCTCCTAATGAACACTTGAAATATAGCTAGTGTGACTGAAGAACTGAATTTTAAATTTTATTTAATTTAAATTCATTTACATTTAAATTATTTATATAGTGACATGTGGATTGGGCAATGCAGTTCTGGATAGAAGCAGCTTAATCTGTGAAACCTGTCCTTTTAGGGCAATTTCTGTCTTTTTGTAGAGACATGCCACTCGGGAGGACATATTCTAGTGAGTATCAATTTGTAGTAGCACAATTGGAAACAGTTATCCTGAAGATTCCTTTGTAAAAAGTGTAGGAAAAAGAAAAAAAATAAAATGATCGAGAAGATTCAGTGGGCTTATGCATGCTTCCAGTTCACACACAGACACACACACCCATGCACACATGCCTTCACCTTTTTATACACATAAAGACACATGTATGTGTATTCCAAGTGGATTTGATTTTTGATTCTTCGCTTAAGCTAAATTTGAACAAATTCATTATTGATAAATTTGATGACTACTGATATATTTTCGATAGCTAATACACCAATATAGCAGTGAAATTTCAGGAGAGAATGAAAATCCAGTGTTTTCAACAGTTATTTTAAGCTGTCTCCTAGTGGCCACAGTAAACAGCCAGGTATGGTGAAATAAACATTCTTGGAGCCTAATCGACAGAGAGCAAATGCATATACCAAAATGAAGATGCCACTTTATCTCTGAGGGAAGTGGGGGGCTGTAGAAAGCAGTTAGGTATGAGGGCATCTCACTTTGGCTATTGGTACAATTTCTAAAGCACTTTAAAAATACTTGCTGAATCAGAAGAAGGTAGGGATTCTTCTGATTCAGAATAACCCTGCCTTTCATTCTTGACCCCTTACTAGACATAGGGAATCAACCATAATTTCAGGGCTTTTGAATCGTTCAATACTACATACTAGGCAATACTTATCAATAGGAGAGAAAACCTATTCGGCTTCCCTGGTATTAGCATAATTTACTTGGCATGAGGCACCCGTTCTAATTAAGGTTCAGACCAAACTTTCTCTGTGTGATATAGTGAAGAGGCAGCTTTTTCTCTTATAGAGAATCATTTGTTTTCTCTCCTGCTTGAGCCCCTTCTTCTCCAGATTCCCCACCCCACCCACACCCCTGACCATTTCTCCTCATGATAAATTTCACATAAGATGTGCTTAGGAGGCATTTTTGAAGATGTCCCAGACAGCCTCAGGATTGTCTCTGGACCTGAAGTTGAAATGAATCATTCTTAATCCTCAGTGTCCTTAGACACTATATTGCTTTTATTTGCATAGAGGTTTATGTGCTGCAATGAATTGCTTCCTCATTGAGCATAAATTGTGGCTCTGTCAAATGACCCTCCCATCCTCCTGACACATTTCTTTTATGTTATGGGATTCAGACCGTCTAGATTTTGTGGGCTGATGTCACTAAATCTGCTGAATCTGCCTTGGGTCATATATTTATCTTTTGCCCATAATTCTGTTCACCAGCACAGACACAGACTTGCCCTTCCAGAAAGATACTTCCTTTCAGTGTAGGAAGAAGTAACAAAAACAAATACCCTATGGCTTATCTCTTTGCACAATTATTAATGGGGCTTTTAGGACACTGTGAATTAATGTGTTACCTACTGCCATATGGTAGAAATGAAGTGCAAAACCATCAACTCAGATTCCCATATAATTATACCAAATAAGTATCTGAAACTACTCAATCCTCTCTCTTAATTTATTTGCCTTGATTATACAGAAGTATCTATTGCTATAAATTTATCTTAGAAGTAAATACATATGGTTAGTGAGTCAAGTAAAACAAATAAAACAAAAAAGTCAGTTAATAGAAAAATTTTGGAAACTTCATCTCTGTAGCTTTAGAAGCTACCTATAAACTGAAGGGTTTCAGGTCAGATTCTTTTTTTTTTTTTTTTTTGGTCAAATTTATTTTATAGGTGTACTTTTGTGCAGGACAAATTTAGATGGATTGGGAATTAGAGAAAAGGTAAAGAATCTAGTCACTCATGAAATCCCTTTATACTAAATGCATGCCAATTATTCACATCTTTTTAAAACTTGGAAGTTTCTTGTTTTGTGTGCGTTTATACAGCCTTGAATTTCACCAGAGGGAGTGCGACCAGATGCGCAGAATCCACAGTGATTGACATAAAAACAGAAGGTGTCGGGGCATTGTCTATGTCTTAGGCTCTAGGTAGAAGGGATTTCCATCGTTCATTCAATAAACATTTAGGTGTGTGCTTTTAAGCAGAGCCTGATGTTTTAGTGGGAACAAGACAGAAATGGCCCCAGGACTCAGGACCACTCACTGTATGACGCAGGGGTGATGTGTCCAATGTCAACAGGGAAAGAATTACTTTGGATGAATGACTGAAAATGGAAACAAAGCTAGGTGAAATTCTTCGTTCATCTTGTTTGAGTTCATTTGTCCTCTTTCATTACTCTAAGATGTTCCCTCAGGAAACCAAGCAATTCAGTGTGGGTAGGTGTGAAGTTGGAGTGCAGATGGTATCATATTCTGAGGAGGACATCACCTACACAGCCCTTCCAAGACTTGGACTTCGCTCTAGTCTTTGGAAACTTCATTATGGGCTCAGATAGTCCAGTTCCTCCTCTGGGTAGCTATGACCAGCCAGCAGGACTTCCAGGCTTCCCATAGAAGCATATGCCATTCCTTAGTGTCTCCACACAGTAAGCAAGCCCAGTCAGACCTACCCAGTGAACATACTCGGATGTGGTCCTGGTTTGCTTAGGACTTTTGGGCATTATCTCTGAAAGTCTCATGTCCCAGGAAATCCCTCATTTGCAGGCAAACCTAGACAGATGGTCACCTTCAACCTAGGCCTATGTGGCTTCCGCTAAACCTAGTTAGCACAAGTTGCTCCATGAGCTACAGTAAAGTCTTTGTTTTCTTCTTATTTCGTAGGCAATGCTCTCTTTTTGTATATTCTTACTTTTCCTTTTAATGCACTACCAGCACGATGATTTTCTTTTCTTCTTATCCCCAATTCCCTCGTCTAGAATTCTTCCAGCAGCTTAAATAGACTCCAGCAAAGCATCCATTTGAAAGGGCTTAAGTAAGAAACAGGAATGTAATGCCTTACCATCTCTTGACATTCCCAGGGCAAGACACTTCTGCAGTCGGCAGTGTTGGCAACGGTTTCTGTTGGTTCTGTCAATTAAACAGTTTCTCTGCCTTGGGCAGGAATAAGAGGCATTGTTCTGCTGGCTCCTCCTAAAGAATCCCTTGAGGGAAAAAGAGAAGGGGAGAGAAACAGATTTATAAGAAGGGAAACAGAGAATATTAACATATACATTTGCTACATTTTCTGCAGTGAACATAACTGAGTTTAATTTTTAAAGCTCTTTGGATACCTCTTCTCATATGGCTTGCAGATATTTCTGCTGGGGAAAATAGATGCTATCTGCAGAGATATGAGGGTATCATTCATTTACCCATTCACTCATTCATTCATTCCTTGAATAAATGTTTGCTAAAGACATTTGCAGCTGTGCTGTTCTATGCAGAAATAAACAGAAGTTTCTGTCCCGCAAAGAGCAGCGGGGAAGGAGTAGCAAAGGAGAGTACTAAACCAAACATGACAGAACTTGGTGGGGACAATCACATAGGCTTGTATCAAGTGCTGTGGTGGTGAGGAACTTGAGGTATTGGTAAGAAAAAGCAACACTGAGGAGTATGTGCTACTGTTTTCTTAGTTTCTAAGATGTGTTTTCCCCCACCATAAACTTTTCGAATTTGGCTAGAATGCAGCTGAAAAGTGTTTTATTTTTCTACCTTTTTGAGGTGTCTTGCTATGTTGTTCATGCTAGAGTGCAGTGACTATTTGCAGGCAGGATCATAGTGTACTGCGGCCTCAGACTCCTAGACTCAAGTGATCCTCCTGCCTCAACCTATAGCTGGGACTACAGGTATGTGTGTGCACCGTGGCTGGGTCTTGAAAGTTGTTTTTTAATAACCATACTTTTGAAAAAATAAAATATTATATATAAGCTGTTCAACAACAAAAAGTATTAAGTAAAAACTGAACGAGTGGTCTCTACTTGGCCTCAGGTTACTCAGTGTAAGATGTCTTCATGCAAGTACATTTGGGTTCGTCAGGTACAAAATGAACTGCCAGTGACCATATACTGCTTCTCTAAATAAATCCACAGCTGAGTTGATTTTTTAAAAAATTTTTCCTTAGTTGTCTTATAGAAAACTCTGTTGGGGAAAATAAGCATTTTCTCCAGAGATAGATTAAGTTATCATTCATCCATTCATTGACTCATGTAATCGATTTCCTTAATCACTCTTTGCTCTTGAATTGTCTAGAGAAAAAAGGAAAAGTGCAATGTATCATGAGCAAAATGATGGTCTACATTAAGCTTTCTAAGACAAATTTTGGGAAAAGATATCCCACAGCATCATCTTTTGGAAGGAGGAAATCTAGAAAAGTTCAGGAATGGTAGATTCAATGCCTATCTTGCAGAGAAGCCTAGAATAGATCCTTTGACTTCCCTCAAACAGCTTCTTTGTTTCCTCAACTATCTACAGGAAGAAGAAGCAGAGCCAGGGCTGGGTGAGCCTAGTGAGGCAAACACTTTGCCCACAACATTTAAAGGTCACCTAAAATTTTTGTAATTAGAAAATACAATATTTTAACATAATGTGTTAAAAAATCAACATCAATGCAAAAATACCCAATAACTTAAAGAAAGGATCTGTGTTACTGATTTTCCTTTTGTCTTGAGCTCCAATATGGCTCAGCATGGCACTGGTGAAGAGAGCTTAGTCAGTCTGTGAGGAATCTCAAACATGGAGGTGTGGTCGAGGATCTCCTCAGAGAGAGTCCCAACTGGCTTCGCCATTCAACAACAAGGACTAGTGTCGTCCCCATACATCCACGTGCGTTCCTTATTTAATAAACCAGTGATGGCAGAATGAGACACCTGACTGTCCAGTTTGACTGAATTCATGGAGCATCTTAGAATAGAGATCAAACGTAAGCCCCCAGGGATTGAAATGATGTACTTTATATACTGTGAAAACTGTCAGAAAGCATAACCTCAGTCCATCAGTCTTGATTAAAGATGACTTGAAATTTACATTTTAAGACAGAATTGTGTAGTTTTTATCTTTGGATACTCTAGTGCTACTTAGCAAAAGAGTTGACAGGACAGAAAAGACTTTTCTGAAGTCACAGCTACAGCCCTAATTTAAGACCAATTTGACATTAATTACGACACATTTCTTGCTTATCTGTTGCTCATTATTGCAAATGAGGTTTTTGGCATGAAAGAGAGATTGTGTTCCAAATTTTATTGAATGAATAGAAATTTGAATAAGTGCACAAGCTGAATTGATGTTATTCAGAATGGGTTGTTTATGTTGACTTGAAAACAGCATTATGAAAACTCAGAGGTTGATACTGAATGTGCTGACATTGACATCAAATTCTGAAGAGAATTTTGAAGTTTTCTATTTGCAGAAAATTGTAGCATATATACAAATGTGAGTTTTTCCATGAATTAAAAAAATAGTGTGGTGTATAGTGCCATTTTAACTAAAACCTCAGAGTATGCTTCATAATAACAACATAATTTCGTTAATTGTGGATTCTTCCTTTACATAGAAAAGATGACACTTGTTCTTGGCTATTGACCTGTTGGGTTATATTTGCACGTTAGTTAAATCTTTTGGAAATTACTGTTTAAAATATTTTGCTTTTTAACCTGAACATATCCCCATCTTTTGAAATCATACATTTTTCAAATAGAGCTTACACAATCAAATGCCAAACATCACCATTTTGACATTGATCTAAAAATCAGTTTTAGTAGATATTATGTAAACCAGAGTTCTCAAGATTGCATAACGAGCCAATATAATGGTAGAAATACTTTCAATGGAGAAGATTCTGACTCCTAAGTTATTATTGTTTTTGAAGAAAACTATTTGTCTATCTGCCTAGAGGATGTAATAACTTATTCAAGGAGGGTAAAAAGTTGCTGACATAATTTTGCTTTCTTGTTTATTCTTGATGAGTTGAAAAATTGCATTAAAGTGGATAACATGCAATTCTTAATTCTAGGGCTGCAGAGGAACAGAATGCAAAGAACAGCTCATGATATTCACAAATAGATTATCACTAATCATCTTTAAAGTACAGCAGTGTGTTCACAGGTTAGTACGTTAATATGCTCCCTCTTCTTCCCTCTCCCACTTTATTCTTATTTATTTCCTTTCCTTTTCTTCACTCCGGTTTTAATTCCAGGACTCACGCCTTTTTGAGACTATTATGAAGACACTGTCAATTTATCACACAGTACCAGTATTTGACAGTTACAGTATGTTTTGCCTTGTGTACATTTGAAAGCCTGTTTAAGATTAAGATTAGATCTTAGACTCTATGACTGTACTACCCCTCCTTCAGTTTACTGATCTTAAAAGAATAATTCACTTTGCTTGCATCTTTGATCAAAAACACAATTGCTCTTGCCAATAACTTTACCAGCATATTACCTTTCCCTCCCAGACCGTGGCTGCATTTTATTTGTTCTGTTTACACATGGTCCTTTAACTATAGCTATAGAACTGTTTAGATTTTCCCTGGCTATTATGTCTCTCACACTCACTTTCTTTCCTTCTAAGGATTCGTTATTAAAACTTACTGTTAAATTTCAAAGTTCTTTTATTTCAGATTCAGTCTATGTTTACTGCTATTCCTTCAGCTCTTTATTTAAGAGAGCAACTTGCTTAGAGGAATTAGTTTGCCACGGGAAGGGTGGGTGGAATCTGTCTGGAAGTGGAACGCTGGATTGAGACTGAAAAACCCTGTGTTTTTGGCCATGCTCTGTTCTTCACTGTCTGAATCAATGATGTTGATCAGATGACATAATCTTGTTTATACCTCAGGACCTCATTGGAAAATGAAGGGGTGCGTGGGGGTAGGTGAGTTTTAGTTGATTTAGAGATAATCTTGTTGGCTTCTAACATACCACGCTTCCAGTTTTCTTTTCTTTCTTTCTTTTTTTTTTTTTTCCTGTAACGTGAGAATAAAGGATGGCCATATGCATATTGTAGCTGTTACCTTCACTTCCTCTTTCTCAAGCAGATAAATATGTACTTATTAGTTTATAATCTTTATTTTAACCTTTAGTTTTTTCATATGGTAGTAAGTGCCTTGGAATTTACTGGAGACAATACTGCTAAAACAGCAAGAGTCAGTATTTATATCTCTGTAAATGTGAATAATTCAAGGTTTTAAATACGAATCCATTTTTAAAGAGCTGCTGACCAGTTAGACAATAACAAAAAGGTAAAAGGCGAAAGAACAGAAAATCAACCCTCCCACCCACCACGCGAGAATTCCTCAATGTCAGCAGCAGGCAGAAGGATCCTTTAGCAAGCCTTCCTGAAAAAGGTGTCACCTCGTCTTGTGAGGTACACAGATGCCTGAGGCAAATACAGAACCGTGCGGTCTGAAAGTCCCATACCTTGCAGCCTTCGCATGTGATGACTCCGTAGTGGATCCCAGAGGACTTATCGCCACAAATTTTGCATGGTATCACTTCAATTTGTGCTGAAAGGAGAAAATACACATTTTGAGCATACAAAAGTTTTCTTTCTCCTTTCACTCTTCCTATCTCCCCATCTATCTCTGCCTTGATGTTTGTATTTGAAAATACTGGATGTGGGCGGTGGTATGGGAGTCATCCACTAGTATTTGCATGGCTGTCCTAAACTTCTTCTAAGTCAAAGTACATTTCTCTGCCATTGTTTGCTTTATTTTTCTCAAACTAAAAAAATATAACCAGAAACCAGTTTTCCAAAGTCTTGCATTCACTGTTTTCTCCTTTGTGAACTTGACCTTAAAAATAGTGGGACTCAAAAAGCCTTTGAACCCACAGCTTTTCTTTTCTTATTTTGCACTTGAAACACTAAGTTACTGAGAGCTTTCACAAGGCCTTATCTCAGTGATATTTAAAATAAATACATAAATAAAGCAAAACTATGGGATGGGGCAGTGCATGGTAGCTTTATACATTGTGTGGCTGGATATTTACTTACAAAAATGCCAATAATAAATCAGTCCAATATTTATTGAGCATGCTGTATATGTTCTCTAAGATAATAAAGGCTGTTGATGGAGGATAAGATACGCTAATTATACAAATAATCTAATTAGTAAAATAAAATTAATACAAGGAGAAATCAGGATGAATTATGAGGGTACTAAATATGAATTCAATACAAACTGAAATAGTTTCATTGGAGATGAAGGCATTTTTGTTGATTCTGAAGATTGTGCAGGATTTAGTTAGGCTGAAGGGAAAGGCAAAGGGCATTTCTGTAGGCAGGAGGGAAATTAAAAAGATTGGAGGCCTGGGATGATTGTGGATTGTGATCATTGAGACAGTAACTTGGCTATAATGTAAATTCAGGTCAGATGATTGGCTAGAGGGATGATGCCAGATTATGGAGTTCCTGGGGTTAGGTAGCGGGGTTTTTCACCTGATCTCACTGGCCATAAGGAATCAACGAAGTGAACAGGGAAAAGAAATGATGAAAGTAACTCACCTTAGAAAGGTGAGTTTGGCAGGCTACCCATAAACAAGCGGAAGACCAACTAAAGATTACTTCTAACTTGCGTGTTAGGAGATAAAAACATGGCTTCTTACATCACTGGCAGGATAAATGGAGAGGAAGATGTAAATAGAAAGATGGTTTAAAGGCGAAAGCTAGATTATATAATTAAAAAAGGGAACAGATGTGGAAATGGAGAGTCAAAGGTGACTCCTAGCTTCCTAGCCAAGAGGCTGAGATAAAGTAGTAGGTTTGACAGAAATGGGGTTCTTGGTAAGGCAATTACTTTGGCGGAATACAGTGGGGCATGGGATTTCTATTTTCTATGTGTGCAATTTGGTGTAATGTCCTGTATATAGAACCTCTTGGTAAGATGATTTTAAATAATCAGCACACAGGTTATGGATGAATCCATGAGATAAAATTTATTTAGAATGTAGTGATTCCTATGTCTGATAGTATTCTAAGAGTTGTTAAAATTACACACACTAGAAGATCTGCTATTTCCTCTTCCAATTTAAAATAATTATGCAAAATATACTTCAAAATGCTTTGTATATCAATCTGCCACTTGGATGCTTTTCTACAGTTTCTCACTCTTGAATATACAAAACAAATAAATGCAAGACATTGCCCTCTTTTTCTTATTATTTTACATTTTTTAAAAAAGACAATACTTAGCTTTAGGGTAGTACATTACATTTTTTAAAAAGTAAATATTTCACAGAAATTTCAAATCATCTTTGTAAGCAAAAATACCTCAGTGTTATGTGCCTATTTTTCATGTGAAAAAATTGAGGATCCAGGTTAAATTCTGCTTTTGAGTTGAATTGGGAATTGACAACCAGAAATTAGCTAAATATCCTGATACTTCATTCAGTAACCATTCTCTGACTTCCACACAGACAAAATAAGATTACAGTTTTAAATTCCTGTATTTCTCCAATAGCTCCAGCTAAAGAGCTAAAGACAAACAGCATCAGAAGAGACAAAGTCACCTAAAATACTTATGAGACTAAGTATACGTTTCTTTTCATTTCTTTTTATTTTAGCTTTTAGATTACATGAGCTAGTATTTGTTTTCAAGATTTTGTGATAGGAGAAAACTATGAGATTTGATGTTATTCTATTCTGTCCTTCCGGACTCCAGTCCTTAGTCTGCTAATGATTGGAGCCACGGCCAAGATAAAATATCTGATCTTATGTTTTCTGGTTTGTAAAGCATAACTGACAAACTTCATAGATTTGGGAGGATCAGATAGATATTTTACATGAAGCACCTTGTAAAATGGTTAAGGAGCTAGGAAATGTTAGTCTTCATTATCATCATCATCATCACATCAATCATCCTTGTTAACTGGTTTTCTAAAACTTTTGGACACAAAATATGGCAAGTTACACTATTATTCCTTTATCAAAGATCTTTTCATTTAAAAATAATCTAATGAATGACACTGCAAGTCATTTGTACTACGGGTTTTTTTTTTTTTTTAGCAATAACTTTTCAAATGTTGGATTGTTTACAGCGATTATAAAATTGACTGAAAACCTCAGGTATCCATCGTATGGTTTTTGGCTTATATAATATTAAGTCAAAGGTTCTCTTTGCATAAATTACTCCCCAGGGAGTAGCTTACACGTGGGAGAATCTGCTTCAATAAGTTTTTAATTATAAAATGATCTAACTTTAAAGGAAATGAAAATAGAGATAATTTGCCCCCTGGGGTGTGACAAGATGTTTTTGAAAGCCACAGAGGTTATCTTACACAACTTTGGAAATACAAATGAGATAAGGAACATTCGATAGAGCATCTGCATATTTATACATATTTATAATCCTGGCTCAACATGTAATCCTGAAGAACTATAAACATCTTAACAGCATTTTTAAAGAGAAGTAAGTCACTCAAAATGGTATATGTATACAGCTGTGTATGGAAAGGGGTTATCGGTTTGGAAATCTGTGACCATTTTAACTTATTGCAATAGAATAAATCATCTGAGGTTTATGATAGGTAAAGGTAGATTAAAGTCATTTAAAGTACTAATTCTTTTCTCTCTTGTAAGGAAATAAACTGCTTCTGAGCTACAGTTTTATAGTTTATACTATTTGTTTGTTTGTTTGTTTTTTTGAGACAGAGTCTTGCTCTATTGCCAGGCTGGAGTGGAGTGGCGCAATCTCAGCTCACTGCAACCTCCACCTCCCTGGTTCAAGAGATTCTCCTGCCTCAGCCTCCCCAGTAGCTGGGACTACGGGTGTGTGCCACCACCCCCAACTAATTTTTGTATTTTTTGTAGAGATGGGGTTTCACCATGTTGGCCAGGATGGTCTCAATCTCCTGACCTTGTGATCTGCCTGCCTCAGCCTCCCAAAGTGCTGGGGTTACAGGCGTGAGTCACCACACCTGGCCTATACTATGTATTTTATAAAGCACATCTTCCAGACAGCATTTCACAAACTGATTAGAACAACAAATCCCATTATTGCTTCAATGCCTGCCATTTCTAAATATCTTGCCATTATAACAGTTATAGCCTCTGGTGGAATTGTCTTGCAGTGAATACAGATCTAGTGACATGCTATTGACTGTGGTTTCCAACTGAATATCTTGGGAGGATTTGGTTGTTTGGACTTCACCAGCTGTTACAATGAAGGTAATAGAAGGAAACTGAGGAAAGAGTTTGACTTTTGTACTTTTGCTTGACCAGTGGATTTATTCAACAATAGTATTCCCCAAGAGACAAACTTAGAGGAAATGAAATGCCCTGAGAGATGGCTCTAGTGAAGTTTATTCATTTTTCATATTTTTCAATTTCTTATATATTCATTTCACTTACATTTTTCTATTGGTAATCCTTTGTGAAGGCTATGGTTAAAATGTTATGTATTAACTAATATTTTTGTTTATAAAATCAATGCTATATAGTTTTATCTTTTTTGAAACAATATTCTGACAGTGTCAAAGAGTGTCATGAAAAATTTAAAATAATTTGCTGCTTTATTTTATATTAGAACAATTGATGAAGTACAATTAGTTTACTATCTAGCGATCTGGCAGGCAGAGCCTATTCAACAACTATGGAATAAACCAAATTTCTTTCCCCTTCTGAAGTAGCAATTCTCTCCCCCGAGTTCCCCCTGAAAACTCCTTCTTTGTTTAGAGTTCCTTGCCACAACTTCGCACAAATCTACCATGTTTTCACTTCTTTCTGCGTATCAAAACACACATATTTTTAGTTCTGCCCCCTCAAAACCTCTGCTAGTAACAGCAGGTGTTAAGATTATATAAACTAATCCAGCTAATTAGTTAACTAGAAAATGTATCACTTTGATGCAACAAAATACCTTAACTCTTAAAAGCATCCATTAAGAATGGTAATAATAATAGACTTCTCACGTACTTTCTGGTTGGAGGAAATATTTTTACTGTGTTTGTTCTTATGGCTCCCAATTCTCACCATTCCAACTCTTACAATTCAACTTGCCCATTCCTATATTCTGGGCATTTTAAATCAATTGAAGACAGAGACAAGATCATACTTTGTTTTCTACTGTGTCTAAAGGAGAATTTTTATAACTCCTTAAAGTAGTTCTAAATGTTTTATTTATTTCAGTATAACCACAAGATTTGATATACTCCTTCTTATAAAAGAGGCGAGAGGCAATATTAATTTTTTTTGAGTCAGGGTCTCACGTTGTCATCTAGGTTGAAGTGCAGTGTGATTGTAGCTCACTGCAGCCTCAAATCCCCAGACTCAGGGTATCCTCCCATCTTAGCCTCCTGAGTATCTGGGACTATAGGTGTGCACCACCATGGCTGGCTAATTTTTACATTTTTTCATAGGGATAGACTCTTTCTATGTTGTCCAGGCTGGTCTCTAACTTCTGGCCCCAAGTGGATCCACTTACCTTGACCTTCCAAAGGGCTGAAATTACAGGCATGAGCCACCATGCTGGATCTGATTTTTCATATTTGGGGTAAAGAGAATGAACCA